CCAGCCTGGGTGAGGGGCTGATGGCTGTTTGCAGGCTGGCCACACCCCATTTAGGGTGGGCGGTCCCCAGTGGGGTGCCTGGCCAGTCTGGGTGAGGGGTTGAGGGCTGTTTTCAGGCTGGCCAAGGCCCCTGGCAACGGAAACTCCCAGCCTCTCCTTTTCTTCTTTTTTCTTTTTTTTATTCTGAGATTTATTTACCTTCTATAATTGAAACTTTGTAGCCTTGAGAGGAGCTCAGAGCTCAGGGCGGGCGTTAATTTGCATATAGTCACTCTGATTGGCCGGTGGGCATGGCTTAGGTGTAGCAGAAGTACGGTCAATTTGCATGTTTGTCTTTTATTAGTGTAGATATTTAACACCAACTGTATTGGTTTATATACTATGTAGCCACTGAAAGCTGCTTCCTGTGCACTATGCTTCTTCTCCTCTTTAAGCTTTCCTCGGCCTTTAGAATCTCTTCAGAGGACTCTACCCTGCCAAGACAATGAAGCTTAAAATTGATTTCTAAACTCTACCCTTACTACTGAAGTCTAGTTCCTATAACCCCAATCACGTCAGAAACTCATCAAATGCACATAGTTTGGGGTCAGTTTCATTGATTACAGACCTATACATAATTTCTCTATCCATATTTGCTCATATTTCTAACTTGTCTGCAACAACTATGAGAAGTCCAGGAACTAGAAGTTTGACATTTGGGGCCTTATCTCCCCTGAAGGATTTGACCTGACCTGCCACCACTTTTTCTCAGAGGTGGGTCTATGTCCCCAATGGCTCCATGAGACCCCCTTTTCCCACCTACCCCTGGCTCCCATGTATCTCCTGTTTTTGTTAGTTACTAATGTCCTTAATACCAAGCTCAAGTAGAATATTATCCCTCCCTATCCTTGAGGAAGAATATGTGTATGTGGGGATGCTAGTGGTAGTATAGGGACCTTTGGCCTTATACTAAAATCTTGTCTTAAACAATTCAAAAGACCTCAGAAAGCTAAGAGGGAAGTCTCAGTTTTCATTCACCTGAAAAGAGATGTAACTGTAAGTACACTAAACTTATTTTAAGTGTCTTACTACCTTTTTATTTAAGCGGTTTATATCTATTTACTTAATGGCCTTGTATTAAGCACAAAGAAAAGTCAATGATAAAGGAAAAAGTTGCTAGCTGGCTTGCTCTGGTAAATCAGAAGCCATGCTTCCTCCCCGGGCAGATGACTACATAAGGAGCAAAGAGCTAGGAAATAAATGTTTCTTCCCTTTGAGATGGCACAACTAATTTTTAACCAACGGAGGAGCTTTGGGGAAGCTGAAGAAGACGCAAGACTCTGGACCAGTGCTGTACAACAGAAATAGAAAGTGAGACATAAGCCATTTTTAATTTTCTAGTAGCCACATAAAAAAAGTAAAAGTAAGTAAAATTAATTTTAATAACATATTTTACTTAACCCAATCTCTCTAAAATATCATTTCAATATGATCGATAAAAATCATTGAGATATTTTACTTTTTAAAACTCAGTCTTTACAATTTGGTATGCATTTTTCATGGATAGCACATCTCAATTCAGGCTAGCTGCACTTCCAGTCCTAAACAGCCACAGCTGGTATGAAAAATGGAGTCACTTAGCAGGGGAAAGATACAATGTGGATAACAGCTGTAGCAGAATAAATAGCTAAAATGATGAATTGAGAACAATTTCTTTAAAATTCTCAATGGTCTTGTTATTGAGAAGAAAATACATGAGAAAAAAACATACAGTTAAGTCCAAAATTCTCTTTAGGGTGAAATACAACAAAAACTGTAATAAGAAAACTCTGATTATTAAAGAAATATTCAAAGGCCCTGGCATAAGCAAAAAATAGAAATATTACCAAACATGGCAAAAACACATTAATAAGGTCTTTGGTCATCACAATAAGATGCCTTAGATTAGTCCTATAATTTCCTGATTTTCTTGTCACATTTCTCTTCCTTCCTATTGAAGATATTCAGATAGCAACTCTCTTTCTAAAACTCTAAGATGAAAGTTTCTGGCTTGATGGCCTAGGACCCCTAAATTACATCTCAATAAGCATTCATGTTGTCTTCACCCAATTCCTTAAGATATACTATGAAACATTTCCTCTTTCTTTTTCCTCTCCTTCTCTCTCTCGCTCTCTCTCTCTTGACTTCAGAAGCAGTGTTTTCATTTTAAAGGAGGATTTCTCAATCTCAGCACTGTTGACATTTTGGGACCGGTCACTGCCCTGGGGGTGCTTCCCTGTGCATTTACTAAAGCAGCATCCCTGGCCTCTACCCACTAGATGCCAGTGGCAACCCCTCCTCTCGCACAGTTGTGATAACCAGACAGGTCTTCTGACAGTGGCATGTCCCCTGGGGGAGCAAGACCACCCACTATTGGGAACTCCTGCTGTGAAGTATTTAGATCAGTGATTTGCATGCCTGAGCCCCATCACCCCAACTTCTAATATAAATGGTCTGGGGGTGGGGCACAGGGTATTGTTTTTAGGAGATCCCAGGTTCTAAAGCATAACCAGGTTGAAAACCGCTAGTCAGATGATCTGGGTAGAGACTACTGGCTCCCTTTCATCTGTATGCCTCTTTTCTCCATGTCCTTTAAAATGATGTTTCTTGAACTCAACCTTTATTGAAATACTAGAGGCCCAGTGCACGAAATTCATACACTAGTAGGGTCCCTAGCGGCTGCTGGCTGGGGCCTTCCTTCCTTCCCCTGGCCGGCTCCACCCCCTGGTCGAACTCTCGGTCGAGGGGACAATTTGCACACTATGCTTTTATTATATAGGACTAGAGACCCGGTGCATGAAATTCGTGCATGGGGTGGGGGTGGGGGCCCCTCAGCCCCGCCTGCACCCTCTGCAATTCGGGACCCCTACACCTTTTTTTTATCTAGCTAACCTCTTCACATTTAAAAAATTAACTAAAATACCACCTACTCTAGGAAATCCTCTTTGAACAAATCTCTTTACAATCTGTATTAAGTATTTTCATAGTATATCATTCTTTTTCTTTAACAGCAACTTAGAGTGGATGCAATGTGCTTCTCATTCTTGCATCTGAATTTTTTCTTCTTGCTCTTGTAATAGCAAAGCTTATCCAATTTACATTTGCCCTTCAAGGGTTTATATTTGGTTCAGTTTCTAGTTGGCTCCTGCTTTTTTTTTTTTTTAACCAATAAATTTTGGTTGTGATAGTAACCCTCACTTGTAATCAAGTCTGTAGGTCTCCCTATCTGAATATTTCTATAATACCTATCACTTTAGCATACCAGAGATTATGTTCATTTATAGAAAATAACAATAAATGTCACCTGATCATTTGATCTTCTAGTAATATTTTATAGCAAGATGTATTATTCTAGTAATTTAACTATTACAAAACT